TGAGGTTGATCGGTGGCCTAGTTGGTAGATATGTATATCCCAACTTTTTTCTCTTATGAGTCTTCTTTTCTCCAGGATATTGCTGATATCCTGCAATCTGGTTTTAGATCTCGTCCTCGCCATTATAGTAATTCTCTTGAAAGGTGCATTCTCCTAGAGAGTATATGCAGAAATTGAGTATCCTCCTCGACTTTGGATGTTTCTTCACAACTCTTGCATGGCAAGATTTTGCTGAGTAATATTCCTCATATTTTCAACCATAGTAGCCACTTCCCTAGTAAGTCTAGCAGTTATTCTAGATCCTCATCGTGGCCCACCTCGTGATTTACCTCGCCTATTCAACTTGTGGAATCTATGGCGAGATGTCGAGGTAGTATGAGAGGGTTTACCTTTTTCAAGGTGTTCCCTGGCCCTCCGAGGTGCAGATTCCTTTTTACTAGCACTCATGATACTTCGAAGGCATTTTTAAAGCAATCAATGATCCATTTTTTCTCAAGGGGTAAAAATGGTATTTTAAACAAGCTATTCTTTCTAGTGATCCTTTTTTAAGGACACCTCATTTTCTTCAAAGGCAAGAAATCCTTTTAAACTAAGATTACTGGCTTTTTTTCACAAAATTCTCGTGGTTAACTGTCACAATTTTCCACAGACAGCTCTAATCTATTGACCTCAAAAAATGTGCCAACAGATGTCGATCTTAGCTGACGTCCACATAAGAATATTCCGGTAGGCTTTATACGAATATCTAATTGGAGATTTGAAGACTGGTTACATACGTAGATATTGGTGCGAGGCCTTCATAATCGAGAACAATCAAGAAATAAAAAGATGGCTTAAACGAGCATTCATGGAGAGAAAGTAATAATGTATGTTTGTGTGTGAACATATATATATTTTGCATAATTTACAATGTTACAAAAGCTGTTATTCATAGTATCTCAGCTAAGCTGGCCACCGTTGGATTAGGCCCACATGGCTCCATCTATTTGACTGAAGTTTCATATCACTCTGTTTCACATTAATTATATTAACAAATATATTTGATAACGGGTCAGTCGTCCTACATTCCTAGGCAGGCATGCTGATATTTATTAATGCAAACGTCAACTTGACTTGACCCACAACTTTCACTTGGTTGCCATGAGCTTTCACCCCACAAAGGACACACTTAGTGATTGGTTTGCAAGCCACAAAGGAAGAAGGAATAGAGTAGTAATTGGAACATTAAGGAAGATGAACCACAACCGGCCAAAACTTCACGTTTTCTCTCATTCTCGGAAACCAACACACGGGAAACGACTATAGCAAAAGTTAAATATATATTACTTAGGTTATCACAAGTTGGGGCGAAGAATAAGGAGTTAATGGGAAAACATCCAAAAAACAATCCAATTGACCAACAAACCTAATAACCAATATGTCGCCACCAATGTAAAGTCACAAATTAGACCATCCAAAAGTGTTGAACCATGCCTCCAGGGGCATGGCGCAATGGTAAAGTAGGAGGGTTCTACACGGAGTATCAGAGGTTCGAATCCCCGCGACAACTAGAAGGTAACATTTATGTTGGAAGGTAATTGTCCTGTGGTGGCAAAGTTATGATGCATTTCGTCGCCCCTCCGGGGGTCCTGTCTGCACGTAGTAAAGAGAGGTCTATAGGGAGGAAAATCGCATCCGAATGTCCGACTTAAGTGTGTATAAGTTGTGACCATATCCGAATTTACCTGGGTGATGAACCAAGGGGGAAGGCCGCCACTCAAGATTAGTCAGGCGAAACTTGGATACTTGAGTTAAAAAAAGTGTTGAACCATGAGCAATATTAACTGGGTGGTGAACCGGGAGGAAGGCCGTCACTCAGGATTAGTCAAGCGAAGTTTGGATACCTAAGTTATCAAAAAATAAAGTGTTGAACCATGAGCACTATTAATTCAATTAAATTACTTCAAATGACCCCAAGTTATTTTTGAGTCAAGTCATCACTAAGATGTTGATATATCTTATCCATCATCGTTTTAACATATTGTCTGAGATTTATTAGATATCAAAACTCAAAACACTTAATCTTCAAAAATTCACTATTCAAAACATTTTTCCCCTAATAATGACCATCAAGTAGGGGACAATTAGATAACAAAACTATCAAATCACTTCGTCTTTCTCTTTGATTCACTTGAAAATCGTATTAAATTTAATATTCATAGTGACAATTTCAACCACGTGAAAATCCAAATTAACATATCATAATTGGCCAGAAAATTAGTACCTCGCTTTTGAAGATTGAAGATTTATAACCATGTGTTTCGTGCGAGTTAAGTCGCTAACAATTAAAAAGGATCAGACGATTGTGTAAGGGACGAAACCTCTTGAGACAAAGTCCCAAAAAAGGGTGTTCTTTTATTGGCGATGAACTTTACAATTGGGAATGAAAAACAACGTGCCTCCAAGGGCCGCAAGCACACGAGTTACAGAAAGAAAAGTGTTTAAGTCTAAAAGCTAAGGAAATGAAAATTACATATTCTCTGTTCGAGAGTTTTGGATTCGGTCCCTTTGATTCGTTCGAAGACACTGGGATGTGTTTTAGTATCCTCTTCTCCATCATCTATGACCAACTTGAATTTTGGCAACTTGTTCTTGAACCCAGACGTTACCATATTTACCCCAAGTGGCCGTGGGAAAGGATTCTCGTCCACTGCCATCTTTTTCTTATCGTCGAACGTAATTCGTCCTGATTCAATAGCATCCTGCAATACGTGACGGAAAATCAAGCAATTGTTAGTCAAATGTGACCATGCATTATGCCACTTACAATATTTTTTACCCTTTATTTGTTTAGGGTTTGGCAATTTGTGCTTATTGCTCAGCTTTATTTGCTTATCCCTATATAATTTATCGAATATAAGGTCGGCTTTGGTCACATTGAACGAGAAAGTTCTAGCCTTTATGTTTCCATCCTTTATGGGCTCATCTTTGCCCGATGGTCTAGGCTTGGCCATTATGGGACAAGTATATGTATCCCCTTTTACCAATTCGGCCAAACACATTTCGGTCTGATCGTATGATTCGTCGTCGATGGTATGAACGTCAAAATTTGGGTCTCTGTAATAAGTCCCTTTACTATAATTTTTTATTTGTTTTTCTTCTCTTATCAGTCGCTCATACCTAATCACATTCGCACTCAACTGGAAAAGGTCAGGGAATTCCTTGTCCTGGAACTTCTTTTTTAAATCAAAGCTCAAGCAGTCTTGTGCGATCTTGACAAATTCTTTTTCGGGAAGAGGTACAAAACACTTGCTTCTTGCTGTTTTGAATCTTTGGAGAAAACTTTCTACCCATTCATTTGGCATTTGACGTAGATTCGCCAAATCAGTCAAAGTGACTTCAGACTCAGTTTTATAAAATTGAGCGTGAAACAACTGTTCCAGTTGTTGTCATGTTTGAACAGAGTTCGCTGACAAGTTGATGAACCAGGAGAAAGCTACTCCTGTTAACGAACTAGAGAAAAGTCTCATTTTATGGTAATCGGTCACATCACCACTTTGCAATGTGAATCGCCCTATGTGTTCTAGAGTAGACACCTCTCCTAAACCGGTAAACAGTGAGAATTCTGGCACTTTGTACCCTCTAGGCAATGGATATGTCTTTATTGGCAACAAAATTACCATAATTAGGGCCATTACCATTAGCCTGAACATCTGTTCCCTCATTACCACGTGGAATATTCTGTCCATTGTTTAGGATATTATCTCTCACGTTTGGACTACCCCCCAAATTAGGCATGCCACTACCATTGTTTTGATTTGGCACTGTAGTACCCCCTTGGTTTGAAGTAGAGAGACCAGAAAGCGGTTCTACCCCTTGATTCGAATTTAGGACGGAGGGATTATGTCCCACAATTGTCCTGGTTTGAAAGTGGTTTGTAAGAGGTATAGCCGGTTGACATATTTGGCCTACTAACTTATTCATTGTTTCGTTTAACGTCTTTAGCTGTTTGGCCATATTGTCATAGTGTGCATTTCCATTTTGTGTAAATCTTTCCATATTATGAATACTTCGAAGATTTACCCGTTCAACGACGTCTTGCGTGAGTTCTCCAAGTAATGCAAGCATGGTTCGAGGACTCAACTCCGTCATTGGTTTGTAACGACAGTTACTGCTCTGATTTTGTCCATCTGTTCGTGGAGAGGCATGCTGCTCCTCATATCGCTCGATTACAGACTGGATTCCTCCCTGACTTGCTGCTTCCTTATCGGATCTTTGAGGCATATTGTTTCCTCCTTTGTACTTTCAACACCTAACACCACTATCCCACTGAGCGTGCCAAATTATTTCGCGCGGATTAAGTCGCTAACAATTAAAAAGGATCAGACGATTGTGTAAGAGACGAAACCTATTGAGACAAAGTGCCAAAAAGGGGTGTTCTTTTATTGGCGATGAAAAATACAATTGGGAATGAAAAACAAAGACCGAGTCCAAAACTCTCGAACAGAGAATATGTAATTTGCATTTCCTTAGCTTTTAGACTTAAACACTTTTCTTTCTGTAACTCGTGTGCTTACGCCCCTTGGAGGCACGTTGTTTTTCATTCCCAATTGTAAAGTTCATCGCCAATAAAAGAACACCCCCTTTTTGGGACTTTGTCTCAAGAGGTTTCGTCCCTTACACAATCGTCTGATCCTTTTTAATTGTTAGCGACTTAACCCGCGCGAAACACCATGTAAAAGATTGGAGAACACAATACTATTTTTCCAATTAATGAATGCCAACCACAATATATATGAATACTTTTATGCGTACAATTAAAATTTATGAATTCATATTATTTGTAGTTATTTTAATTACACATTTGCTCCCATATACAACAAATCACTACATATGCTTTCTTTCTTTTTTTCTTTTTTTTTTTTTTTTTTTTTTACCTAAAATTATCTACGAACAACTTACACGCAAAGTCCAGACCCGGTCAGATGCCATAATACCACGTTCTGGAACCGGGCCGGAGGCCCCTCCTCAGCTTGTAAATACCGCGTCAACCGAAGTTCGTTATATGAACCTCCGATTCCCCGCAAGCAATTATTACATGTGAATTTTCCCCACGCTACTCCACAAGAACCCAGACGTCTCTTAATTAATGGTATAACCACGCGATTTTCTTTAATTTCTAAAAAATATCCGCATGCCACACCATAATTCGATGGTGGTCAGCGCGCCAGATAAATATACACAAAAAGAATACAACTGAGTTGTCAAAGACAGACAAGGAGGCGATATATACAACTAATTTCTTGTATATGTAATCTTCAACTTCCACCCTTTTACCTTGTACATCAATCGTGTTTTCTACATCCTTAGTTTAATCGAAATTTGAGAAAAATATGCCGGTTCCAGATGAGCCAACGTCGAAAAAGGTGGCAGAATCACCACAGTCGGCGGCAACTCCGGCGACCGGAGATGTGGAGAATCAGGCGCTGGGAACCGGTGCCGGAGTTTCGAACATTGTACGGCGGTGGAAGAAAGAAGATCTTCTGAAGAGAGGGTCCTTGGGTTTGCGAGGTCTCGGTTTGCTTTTTTCGTTGCTGGCTTTCATTATAATGGTCAGTAATGAACATGGGGATTGGAAGGAATTTGATCAATACGAAGAATACAGGTACCATAATGTTTATTTATTCTCTTGTACAATATAATTTTATTTCTTTTTGTTCTTGGGTGAGCATTGATTAAGAATCAAGATTTTATTTGGTGTTTTTTGAATGGGGTTCTCATTACAGGTATGTATTGGCTATAGCAATTCTGTCATCATTGTACACTGGATTGCAGATTTTGAGGCAGATTCATGAACTCTCCACCGGTAGAGAAATTATTTCACGCAAGAATTTGTTGATTGTGGACTTTTTCGGGGATCAGGTTGGTGAATTTCCTTGGATTTCCCTGCTATTATGTTTGGATTTGCAAATTATAAACCATAATGAAGTAGTTTCTATAAACTATTGTGTGGTTGGGCGGAGTAATCTTGATGAAAAGGGAAGGAATTTAGTGCCATAAATTACTCCCTACAAATTCATGAAACTTTGTGTTTGATTTTAAACATAATTAGGGATTACAAGTCCTAAAAAATAGATATAGGAAATTTGATACTAATTTAATCAGCATATATTGATTCATCCCAATAATTTATTGGTGGGCATAACTCGACAACAAGCGATTTGTAGGCCAACCCTGTCTGAATTTTCCGCAACTTCGACCTCTGTTTAGTCTCTCGTTGTAGGTGAAACGTCTAATGAATCACAAAACAAGATGAAATCAAAATGTCTCAACGTAGTTTTTGTCTATTGAGGACAAAAATGTGGTTCTGCTTCTTGGCTTATAAATGGCAAACCAGAAAGTAAACAAACTAATATTATTAGCATAAGGTTTAATATGCTTTTTCATCCTTTTACACTAGAAATGACGTTTTTTAATGAAAAGAATCATTAAAATTGAACGTTCTGGAATTACAGATTGTGGCGTACTTTTTGATATCAGCAGCTTCATCCGCGGTGCCCTTGACTAATAGAATGAGAGAAGAGCAAGATAACATATTTACAGATTCTTCTGCATCAGCTATCAGCATGGAATTCTTTGCCTTCATCTTACTTGCATTGTCAGCTATGATTTCGGGATATAAACTCTCTAACCAATCCTACATATGATAGGCGCCTGTTTTTATGAAATTGTTTGACAGTTTCATCTATCTTCCTCTTCAATACATTGTACACTCAAATTTCATGTTTATAATAAAAGGCTTTTCTATCTATTTCTTATTGTATAGTGCCCGAATTAAGATCCTTTGTAGGAGAATTTTCCATAATGTTCTAAAGGTTCTTTTATGAATAAAACATTTGCTCTCTCTAAGCCCCTCTCTCTCTTTCCTGCGTACATGTTGTGTTCGGACACTGCTAAGCGATGTTTGAAATTGAGAAAGTTCTGGGAACTTCTCGTAGATGTGATCAATACATTAATTAAAGATTAAAATGTCATCGATATTTAGCATGATGTGCCAGGATACCTACTAGTACCAAGTCTTTGTAATATGAACATTAACATTATTAATTAAAAATGAACCTGTTTATTAATAATTATTACCCTGATCCCATAAAGGAAAATGTAGAAGACTCTGTTGGTGTAAACAAACAGTGAAGGCTCAGTAATAAAGATAAAATATGAGTCAAAATTTATTCAAATAACGCGCGCCGGGGGGGG